ATCAGTTAATAGTTTGGTCTAAAAATGTTTTTGCCGTCAATAGTTTGGTTAAAAAATGTCACTAATGTGACTTAATATGTCAAAATATCCTTTTTCGAAATAATTTTTTTTATAAACACATTATTTTTCTAATGATGATGATTTTTTAATTAGAAAATGTTTATCCTACTTCAATTTGGAAATGATTAAGATATAAAAATATCTTCTACTTTATTAGATTTTTTTTTATCATTATCTAAATAAAAATTAATGATAAGGTTACTATGATCTTATATATATGACCTATATTATCAGTTAAAAGGGTACATGAAGTTATTCTATTTTAACGGTTAAAATGGGAGTAGAAAAAAAATCATTACCTACTTATTTATTAGTTAATAATGTGATTTTAAAAGAAAAGAGACAAAAATTGGATTCTTTAATAGTACTATCTTATTAGGATTAAAATATGGTTAAAAAGAAAAAAAATATATACTAATATATTTATAAGGAAAAGGACTTTTGGACCAACTATTAACTTGAAGCATTTTTTTTTGTTCAATTCCACATAGTTAAATGATATTTTGGACCCTTTTCCGAAATAAGAATAACACACAAACAATTCTTAGAAAAAAGATAAACAATAAAAAGCTAGAAATGGTGAAAAAGAAGGAAGAAGAAGTGAGGGGGGTGGTTGGGGGGAGGGGGCAATAAAAATGGGTCCACATTTTAAATTTTAATTTTAGAAAATGTATTTTTAATTAAGTAATTAGTGTAAATTAATTTTAAGAAGTGTGAAAGAAAAAATTGTGAAAATAATTAATAAAAAAAGGAAAAATGCACAAGTACCCCCAAGCCTATGCCCAAAATTCCTGAGACACACCTAATCTTTACTAAGGTCCTATTACCCCCCGAACTTATTTTATATATAATTTTCTACCCCTTTTCAGACTACGTGGCACTATCTTGTGGGCCCAGCGTGTGTTGACAATTTTTTCAAGGATAATGCCACGTAGATCGGAAAGGGGTAGAAAATTATATATAAAATAAGTTCGGTGGGGGAGGGGGGGGGGGTAATAGGACCTTAGTAAAGGTTAGGTGTGTCTCAGGAATTTGGGGCATAGGCTGGGGGGGTACTTATGCATTTTTCCATAAAAAAATTAATTAATGACGTGGTGCTAACATGTAGGGGTGTGCATCGGTCGGTTCAGTTCGATTTTATGTATTATTGGTTCGGTTTTCAATTTTTAAATATGCTAAACCAGTAAGATATTTTTTATCGATTTTTGGTTTAGCGATTTTGGTCCTTAACAATTTGGTTTTCGGTTTAACCAACAAAAAATACTTATAAATATATTTTTTTTCTTTTTTTTCAAATACTTATAAATAAATATGTGACTTCTCTAATAAATTTGACGCGACAAGAATACAGTAACTTTACAAATGCTCATAAACTAGAAACAATAATAACAAACATGAAAAGAACTATATAGGTGTAACACAAAGAGAAATTAAGAGGAATATATTTCTTACTTTAAGTTTTGTCTGTTTTATAATGTGAAGTTGAGAACTCAAAAACTCACAGTGAAGTGTGCGATTTTGGTCCTTAACAATTTGGTTCTCGGTTTAACCAACAAAAAATACTTATAAATAAATATGTGACTTCTCTAATAAATTTGACGCGACAAGAATAATATAACTTTACAAATGCTCATAAACTAGAAACAATAATAACAAACATGAAAACAACTATACCGGTGTAACACAAAGAGAAATTAAGAGGAATATATTTCTTACTTTAGGTTTTGATTGTTTGCATAATGTGAAGTTGAGAACTCAAAAACTCACAGTGAAGTGTGAATTGAAAGCTAAATGACTAAGACATAACTAGTAAGATATTGAGATTAATATTTATACTAGGTAATTTATCCACGCTTCGCGCGGGCATAAATAATCTTTCTTAGCTTTTGAACAACCTTTCCAATAATCGACTGTTATAAGAAAAAAAAAGAAGTAAATTTTAGTAGGTTTTAAGAATATTTCAACAGAAATTAAATGATTTGACATTATCACATATCTCAATAATTTTAAATATATAATGAATGATTAAAAATATCTTGAATCATTTTAATCTTTTACATAATTTATCATAATATATGTTTGATGATATAATTGTCTTGTTAAAACTGAGTGATGTTTTTATGTAACGATTAAACATATTTTTTTCTATTTTTTGTACATGAAAAATATAGAACTGATAATTTTATGGTTAGAATAACTCCTTATTAAAAACAAATTATATAAAAAAAATTGATAATCAATATTAGTTATAAATAAGTTAAGACCGTTAAAAATGTACACCACAACAACATAAATAATTTTTTTAGAGACAATCTACTTGTATGAGGTCAAACGTTGACCACTTTTCGTTATTGTTACTTTGTTACTCTAACAAAATTTATAGAAGGAAAAAAAATTAAATTTGAAACAACAGCAAAATAATATTGTTGACCCATTTAGAAATCCATTCTTCATTAACTGTTGCTCTGAAGACCCTTCTAGATGCTTCATCAATGCAACTTTACGACTTTTTCAGAAATACGTATGTATAATTGTTGCATTATGAAAGTACAAGTAGATAAAAATATTGGATTCTAGACTCATGTTAAATTAAGAAATATTCTCGAACATTAAAAAATTAAAAATGAGTCTAACCTAGATAACTCAAATGCTCAGCAATGACTTGGGACATAAAGGACAACAAATCTATGTTAATAGACATATCTTTTGTAGCTTAAGATATTACTTTTATTTAGAGCAATTTTGTTTCATAATCTTCAAATTAAGCTTGATGAAAATAGTCTTAACTTACACCAAAAATATTTAGTAGAGCTGAATGAGAAGGAAAAAGAAAAAACATTAAAAGGACGAAAGCTTTGTCCAAGTGGGATCATATACATACCAAACGAAAAATAATTAATACAATTTTAAGGAGACAACAAAACCGCAAGAAAAAACATACATTAAAGGGAGTAAACTATGAGATATTCAATGATGATAACAAATCATTCTAACCAGAAAAGTTCTCATGTTTTAAAATAACATACCTCAGAAAATTGACTAACACTTCAATCAACTTTCAATCCTTAAAGTACTCATAATATCCAGTGATAAAATTTACTAAAAATAGATAACAACAATATAAAAACAAAAAATATGGGCATGCAAAGTTATTAACTCTCAGAGGATTTTCTAAAGAACACAAAATCTCATCCTTGTATGTGAAGAAATGACGTTGTTAATGAACAAATTAGAGATTTGTAAGGGTTTTTTTATTATACCTTCAACAATTCCAGTAGAGAAAACTTGCGTGAATACTCAATTAACGTTTGTTATTTAATATGTACTAACAAATACTTATAACAATAATATTGTAGAAACATAAACAACAAAATTTAAAGCATGCACTTAAAAATAACAATTAATAATATAAACATAAATTAATGACTGTAAAAACATATCAGGATCTGTAACAATAGAATGAAACAGAATGGAAAAATTGATCCCACCGAATGAACATCATCCCCTTAAGGAAATTATTTCCCCTAGTACCGAGATTTAAAGGAATAGATCCTCTCAGAAAAGAACGATTATATTCACCAGTGTATTGATACAAAAAAAATGGTGTCAGTGAGTCACTGAACAGGAGCAAAGTACACAAGTATTTAATTGTCCAGAAGAAAAAGAAGAAGTTCAAACTTTTCGTTGTTTAAAATGAGAAGAAATTTCTCTATTATAGACAACAAAAGGTAGTGTGAACAAATGCTTATTGTGTCTTATCGGAAAGATCACAACCTTTCATAAAAGTGACAACTTTTCATAAAAGTCGCAACTTTCATAAAAGTCGCAACTCTTCATAAAAGTCACACGTTTTCATAAAAGTCACAACTTTTCATGAAAGGGGAAGGCTAGTTTTGGAAATAAAATAAATTAAAAGGGAATCTTGGTTTGTGGTGGTGCCATGTAGGCGGATCTAGGGTTCTCTTATAAATATATATATATATATGATTTATGTACGGCTAAAAGTACTAAAATTACTATAGTCTTAATGGGTTATCGGTTAACCCAATATTAAATACCAATACCGAATCGATAACCTGATATCTTTTTTATAAAACCATTAAAAATAGTTAACCCAATAACTCAAGCATAATAAACCAATAACACTTTTTCGGTTTGATTTATCGGTCAGTTTGATTTTTGCAAACCCCTACTGACATGGCTATGTTGTGTCACTTACATGGATATGATGTGGCAAGTGAGAATGGTATTATAATCTAACGTTGGTTTTGAATTCACTTCGAAGTTGTTAAGATGGGTATTTAAATGCCCATGTAGTTAAAGTACTAAAGAAAAATAAGCCAAGAAATATAGATGATGAAAACAATAGAAATATATAGGTCATATATATAAGATCATAGTAACCCCATTAATATTCAAATAAAATAGATGATGACTAAGCGAAGAAATATAGATGATGAATAAGCCAAGAAATAAAACTAAAGAAAAATAAGCCAAGAAATATAGATGATGAAAACAATAGAAATAGAGAGACAAGAGATGAGAGTTTTTCTTATTCTTTCAAGTATTCAAGTGTTCTTCAAATCATCAAGTGTATCCACTATGAACTCTAATGTCTCTATTTATAGTATAACATACAAAAGGCTAGTCATAAACATGACACTAACCATGAAAGTTAGGGAGACATTAACCATGTTTTTCATTATTATTAGGTGAAAAGTCATACTCATGGAAAGGAGATAAAAGGAGTTTTGATTCATTTTTCATTATTGTTAGGTGAAAAATCATAATCATGGAAAAGAGAATTACAAGTAAGACCATTAGTAGCAAAAGAGAGAGAAAGAGAAATCAGTGATCATTCTTGTTTGCAAATTACTCTTTAGCATTCAACAGATAGAAATATTTTATCTTCTCAAAATCATTCTTGTTTTGATTTTCAGATTTCAGAAATGGAGGTTGGCTTAGCAGTTGGTGGTGCATTTCTCTCTTCAGCTTTGAATGTTCTCTTTGATAGGCTAGCACCTCAGGGTGAGCTGCTCAAGATGTTTCAGAAGCGTAAGAATGATGTTCGGATCTTAAAGAAGCTGAGAATGACTTTGCTTGGTCTTCAAGCTGTGCTAAGTGATGCAGAGAATAAGCAGGCATCAAATCAATTTGTGAGCCAGTGGCTTAATGAGTTTCGACATGCTGTTGACTCTGCTGAAAACTTAATAGAACAAGTCAATTATGAAGCTTTGAGGCTTAAGGTTGAAGGTCAACATCAAAATCTTGCAGAAACTAGCAACCAACAAGTAAGTGATGATTTATTTTTTAACATAAAGGACAAGTTGGAAGAAACCATTGAAACATTGGAGGTGTTGGAAAAACAAATTGGTCGCCTTGGCTTAAAGGAGTATTTTGGTTCGATTAAACAAGAAACTAGAACACCTTCAACTTCTTTGGTTGATGATTCCGATATCTTTGGTAGGCAGAGCGAAATAGAGGATTTGATTGACCGTTTAATGTCTGAAGATGCAAATGGAAAAAAACTGACTGTAGTTCCTATTGTTGGAATGGGCGGTGTGGGTAAGACAACACTTGCTAAAGCGGTTTACAATGATGAGAAGGTGAAGCACCATTTTGGTTTGAAAGCTTGGTTTTGTGTTTCTGAGGCATATGATGCTTTCAGAATAACAAAAGGGTTACTTCAAGAAGTTGGCTCATTTGACTTAAAGGATGACGACAATCTTAATCAGCTACAGGTCAAATTGAAGGGAAGCCTGAACGGAAAGAAGTTTCTTGTTGTCCTTGATGATGTGTGGAATGATAACTATCATGAGTGGGATGACTTGAGAAATCTTTTTGTACAAGGACATATGGGAAGTAAGATCATTGTAACTACACGTAAGGAGAGTGTTGCTTTGATGATGGGTAGCAGAGCAATCAACGTGGGAACTCTATCTAGTGAAGTCTCTTGGGATTTATTCAAACGACATTCATTAGAAAATAGGGATCCTAAGGAACATCCAGAATTGGAAGAGGTTGGAAAAAAAATTGCAGACAAGTGCGGAGGGTTGCCTTTAGCTCTAAAGGCACTTGCTGGTATTTTACGCTGCAAATCAGAGGTGGATGAGTGGAGAAACATTTTAAGAAGTGAAGTATGGGAGCTGCCAAGTTGTTTTAATGGTATATTACCAGCGTTGATGTTGAGCTACAATGATCTTCCTCCAGATTTGAAGCGATGTTTTGCTTTTTGTGCAATATATCCCAAAGATTATCAATTTTGTAAAGACCAAGTTATTCACTTGTGGATAGCTAATGGTATTTTACCGAAGTTGCATTCCGGTAACCAATACTTTCTCGAGTTGATATCAAGATCATTGTTCGAAAGGGTCCCAAAGTCTAAAGGGAAACCGGATGGATTCTTAATGCATGACCTGGTTAATGATTTGGCCCAAATTGCATCTTCAAAACTTTGTATTAGGTTGGAAGAGAACAAAGGATCTCATATGTTGGAGCAAAGTCGGCACATGTCCTATTTAATGGGCTATGGTGACTTTGAAAAGTTGAAACCCCTCTACAAATTGGAGCAGTTGAGGACATTGCTTCCAATCACTAACTATCACCGAAATAGGCTAAGCAATAGGGTGATGCATAACATTTTACCAAGACTAACATCCTTAAGGGCATTATCAATGTCACACTATGAGATTGTTGAGTTGCCAAATGACTTGTTTATCAAATTAAAGCTCCTGAGATTTTTGGACCTTTCTCAAACAGCGATTAAAAGGTTGCCAGATTCCATTTGTGCATTGTATAACTTGGAGACACTTCTCTTGTCATCTTGTTATTGTCTTGAGGAGTTACCGCTTCAGATGGAAAGGCTGATCAACTTACGTCATCTTGACATAAGCAACACTTCTCGCTTGAAGATGCTGCTTTATCTGAGCAAGTTGAAAAACCTCCAAGTGCTAGCGGGAGCCAAGTTACTTCTAGGTGGTCGCGGTGGTTTGAGAATGGAAGATTTGGGTGAAGTACAGAATTTGTATGGATCTTTATCAGTTTTAGAGCTGCAAAATGTGGTTGATAGAAGGGAAGCTGTGAAGGCAAAGATGAGGGAGAAGGTTCATGCTGAGAAGTTATTATTGGCGTGGAGCGACAGTGTTGCGGACAATTCACAAACTGAAAGAGACATACTTGATGAGCTACACCCTCACACAAACATAAAACAACTCCAAATCATTGGATATAGAGGAACAAAATTTCCAAATTGGCTAGCTGATCCTTTGTTTCTTAAGCTAGTACAATTGTCTCTTAGCAACTGCAAGGACTGTGATTCCTTGCCAGCACTAGGACAGCTTCCTTCTTTGAAATTCCTTTCGATTAGAGGGATGCATCGAATAACAGAGGTGACGGAAGAATTCTATGGTAGTTCATCCTCCAAAAAGCCTTTTAATTCTCTTGAGAAGCTTGAATTTGAAGGGATGCCGGAGTGGAAGCAATGGAACGTACTAGGAAATGGAGAGTTTCCTACACTTGAGAAGCTTTCAATTGAAAATTGTCCGAAGTTGATGGGAAAGTTGCCTGAAAATCTTTGTTCTCTTACAGAATTGAGTATTTCAAGATGTCCTGAACTCAATTTGGAAACACCTATCCAACTTTCAAGTTTACAAATATTTGGTGTTTTTGATTCTCTTCTTTTTTATGAGGCTGGACTGTTTACATCCCAACTTGAGGGAATGAAGCAGATTGTTGATTTATCTGTTGGTGATTGCAACTCTCTTACCTCCTTACCTTTTACCATACTGCCAAGCACCTTGAAGACAATATGGATATATCATTGCCGGGAACTGAAATTGGAGTCACCAGTTGGTGAGATGAGTTATTGCAACATATTTCTTGAGGATTTGACATTGGAAGAATGTGATTCTATATCACCTGAGTTGCTCCCAAGAGCACGCACTTTGTGGGCAATAAGTTTCCCCTACCTTACAAGGTTTTTAATTCCTACTGCCACTGAAGCTCTCTCTATTTGGAGTTGTGAAAATCTTGAGAAACTTTCAGTGGCATTTCCATCTGCGATAACGTATTTGCATATTGACGACTGTTCGAAGCTGAAGTGGCTGCCAGAACAGATGCAGGAACTCCTTCCATCTCTTAAAGAACTAATTCTGGAAAATTGTCCAGAAATAGAGTCATTTCCTGAAGGAGGATTGCCCTTCAATTTACAAAAACTTGAGATCCTTCATTGCAAGAAACTAGTCAACAGCCGAAAGGAGTGGCGTTTACTGAGACATCCCTGTCTCAGAGATTTAGTGATCGAACATGATAGCAGTGACAAGGATATTGAACATTGGGAGTTGCCTTGCTCTATTCGACAGCTTACCATAGGCAATCTGATAACATTAAGACCCCAAGTTCTCAAAAGCCTCACCTCTCTTCAATATCTATGTATTGAGGGTAATTTACATCAAATTCAGTCAATGCTGGAACAAGGCCGGTTTTCCTCCTTTTCGCACCTCACTTCACTTCAAAGTCTACACATTAGGAATTTCCCTAATCTCCAATCACTTTCCCAATCAGCACTGCCCTCCTCCCTCTATAAGCTGACCATCCAGCATTGCCCTAATCTCCAATCATTTTCCGAATCAGCACTACCCTCCTCCCTCTCTCAGCTTACCATCCAGCATTGTCCTAATCTCCAATTACTTTCCGAATCAGCACTGCCCTCCTCCCTCTCTGAGTTGACCACCCAGGATTGCCCTAATCTCCAATTACTTCCAGTAAAAGGGATGCCCTCTTCCCTCTCTAAACTATATATTTATGACTGCCCATTGCTCAAACCACTACTAGAATTTGACAAGGGGAATACTGGCCAAATATTGCTCAAATTCCCATCATAGAGATCGATCAGGAATTCCCGATGATGATAAAACGAATGGCTCTCCAACAGATATAAGTTATTCTTTTCCCTCAAAAGCTTTCTATTTTTGTTTACTACACTTGGCTTTTTTGTTTATTCTTTTCCTTTTAAAATCTTGTTGAGCAGTGTGGAGCATCTATTGCCCAAACCACAGCTACTAGCCGAAAATGTTGATTGGGAGAACTTGTAATGAGTGGTGCTCCGATAGATGTTTTGATGTCAGTTAATTATTTTTCTGTGTGTTAATCGTTTTGGTTACTTCTCTTTATATTTGCATTGGAACATTGTAAAAGAAATCTAGTAAAGGTAGGAATTGAGATAATTTGCTCCAGAAAGTTGATTGCTTAATATATGTCAGGATTCATCAAATTATCAATTCATATATTCTTGTGACAAATCTCACTCTTCATCTTTGTTGACTATTAAGACTCTTTTTTCTTGTCTATTAACTTATATTCTCTCTCAAATCTTGTAGTCTGGAATATTATTCGTCATCATGAAAGTTGTTCCGCATTTTTGTCTCTTCTACAAAGATAAAGGGTCCAAGAAATGCAACCTCGTTTTTCGTCTCTTCTACAAAGATTAAGGGTCCAAGAAATGCAACCTCACTTTCTTAATCCGGTAGTCAAGACGTTGATAAGAGTTACATCAAGCTTGAAATTTATAGAAATGGAAAACACTTTGAATATCTGATTCCATTATTTTACGCTATGCTGTACCACATTGATTTCAAGTTTGATGCAAAATAGATTTCCCTCATTGGGATTCTCATCAGTCAGCAAAACAGAGTAAGTGGCAGTTTCAAAATTCTCTGGAACCCATTTCTATCTTCACGCCTTTGATTCCGATGACACTCAAGATACAAAAACATTAACAGAGTAAAAGAATTCATCCCAACACCCATGTCAACCCAAGTTTTGGATACTTTGCTGTTAGTGACGTTTAATTTTCTTTTCAGGATATAAATAGCTTTATATCAAAGCTCCTTATAGGATCTAAATTTTAGAAATGATAATCAGAAGTTTTAGAAAATAAGTAAACTTCCATTTTCAAGATTTCTGGAACAATACAACATCCAATTGTTGTCTCAGTTAGATTGCAGTAATCACTTTATTAGGCAAATAAAACGACTTGTCTAGAGGAATCATTCATGTATAGCTATCTATATATAGAGACGTGCGTGCTTGTCTGTAATTGCAAGACGTGGATTGGCCAAGAGTTCTAAAATTTTGTTTTAATTGCTTTTAGTAAGGAGGTTATGATTTCCAAGTCATACAGCTGTCTACTGTGACTTGCTGCAAATGGAACATCCAGCTCTAATGTACCCAAAGGTTGGATGAGGACAAGATCTAGACCTTGGTTGTCTACGGTTCAACTCAGTTTCCCCAGTATACGCATAGTGTGATTGTTGTTGTCTTGGTGTTCCCGAGCATATAATATCCGTGCGATAACAAGAAGGGCTGGAGGTGACAAGGCGGTAAGAAATATGCCAGTGAGTATCCAGAAGAAAAAACTGAAAGTTTTAGAAAAGATTTGAAACATTAGCAAAGCTCAACAATGATTTGGGAAGTGGATTTTTTTTTTATAAGGTCTATGGATGTTGGATTGAACATCAAGAGTCAGGACAATGAATGTAATAGTTTGTATTATTGAGACTTTAGGTTCTATGTTCGCACGACTTCAAAACGCGTCACTTAACTCTAAGGTCGCTTCTTCATATACCAGCAATCAACATCTCTCTTGCCTAGGATGCTACAATGACATTCTTTTTACACTGGATAAATATTAGACATCTATGCTCCAAATACCTTCCACCCTTATAATAATAAGTGAAAATTCCTCCAGGCTTAGAAAGAGAAATCTATCAAAAAAGGGGAAAAAGCTCGAAGGATCCAACAGAGTATGTCGGATTAGCCATTTATTTTAACTTATTTTTCCCTTCTACACACCTTTTTTTTTGTCTCTCACCCAGTGTCTAGAGCTCGCATTGAAACCCCGACTAAATTCGAATCGCATTCTGCAGGGCCCATTTTGGTATGGACTCAAACTGAGACCTCTGGTTAAGGGTAAAACAATCTCACACTAAATCACAACAAATTATTGTCACGTCCTATTAAGATGATAAAATGTTTTTGACCAATCATAGTAAATCATGAATTGACATTTTAGATCACAACAATTACAGATCATGAGCGTAATAAAAGCAAATTAACATTGTCGTCCTATCAGTTTTCATTCGTCTATTGTTTCTTTTGCATGATCGTCAAACATCCATGAGGGAATTAAATAAATGTTAATTTTTCACTAGGATACAGAAACTGAAAATATTTGTGAAATTTCAATCTTTGAACCTAATTTTCAATGTGAAATTTACCCGAATGTAAAGTATCTTTTAAACCAGGAATTCCGTTATGTTAAATTAAAAATTCATCAATAATATTTTCAAGAATGATTTCTGTTTTTTTTAAAAAATAAATAAAAGAAAGAACTTTTCAAGAATGTAAAGTAAACATATTTTTAATATTGTAGGTCCCTTTTAATCAATGTGAAATTTACCCGAATGTAAAGTATCTTTTAAACCAGGAATTCCGTTATGTTAAATTAAAAATTCATCAATAATATTTTCAAGAATGATTTCTGTTTTTTTTTAAAATAAATAAAAGAAAGAACTTTTCAAGAATGTAAAGTAAACATATTTTTAATATTGTAGGTCCCTTTTAACACTATAATAAGCCGGGTAGAATTCTATCATTTTAAGCTCTTTACTTTTGAGTCCCTCACCTAGGCTCCCCTTTCTACATCCCTAATAAATTAGCCGTCCTTTCTTGCTTCAATTATTGAGTTGAGAATGTAATGAATTTGCTTCAATTTATCATTGTCTTTTTGTTGTTTGAAAAGTCTTACTTATGAAAGGAGAAAAAAAATGAAAGTAGGTGCCTGGTGGAAGCGGCGGAGCCAGGATTTTCAATAAAGGGATTCAAAATCTGTAGAATAGACACACGAAGTAGTCGTAGGGGGTTCAACATCTACTATATATACATAAAAAAATTATTTTAACCATGTATAAATAATATAATTTTCTGTTGAAGGAGATTCGGATGAACCACCTTAGTATAAGGTGGCTCCTCCCCTGTCTGGTGGTGCATTTCTCTCTTGAGTTTTGAGATGTTCCGTATCGTTAACACGATGGTTTATTATGTATAAAAATAATATTAAATAAATTATATAATACAACTAGCACATGTATTTATTTTTTTTCTAAAGAAAAGGGTCTAACTTTGTGATTTAAAGCTGGTATAACTCTTCTTAAAAGAGTGGCTTACATATACTTCTATTATTACATAAATGACTCACATATATCATTTTTCTCTAAAGAAAATAAAAAAAATCAATTTAAAATTATTTTTTTGAAAAAGAAATTTATGTAGGGATATATTTGATCCTTCTCACATGTATTTATTTTTGGCTTCTTTGATTCAACGGCTAATTTGGATTTATTATTTTGATGATTAAATTTATCTTTACTAAATTTCTTGTCAAATTTAGTACATATGCCCAATTTTATTTTATTTTTAATGATACAAAAAAAATACAACATATCCGAAAAAAATTAGCTCTAAATTTTTATTATTTTTTTTTAAAAAAAGAGTTAAAAAAAAATTCTCAATTTAATTTCTGTTAGGTTTTGATGTGGAATTAAGAGGGGTAGGTAAGTTGATTGGTGACCATTAAATTTTATCAATTACTTTTGGCACAACTTGTGTTGTCTTGGCCTCATGTCCTTTTCCACTACATCACAATAACCCAACAATCAATATATATTGAGAGTGAGCGCGCGTGATCGCAAAATTGATGTACTAACTTCGATCAATTTAAGTGTTCTAGCTTATTTGAGCACAAAATTTAAGAAATAAAAAGTAAAATTTATGATTTTAAATTAAAAATATGTGTGTTTTTTAAATTTTGTAATCTTAAACTTTCGATAAATTATGGACAAACTAAAAGTATCAAAGAGGTTCTACTTTGTAGAATACACAAATATTAACTTATTAAAATATTTCGATGCATTTATGCAGTAAGTTCAATAGAAAAGATATGATGAGTGATTATAAAAAGAGATTATGTTGATTTAAAAGATAACCACATGGAATCTAAATAAATATAAAATAATCAAATGTCCTTGAGGAAGGTAACCACATGGAATCTAATTAAAAGTTTTGTTCAATTCAAAATTCATCAATAATATTTTCAAGAATGATTTCTTTTTAAAAAAAATAAAAGAAAGAAAATTTTCAAGAATGTAAAGTAAACATATTTTTAATATGATAGATCCCTTTTGACACTATAATGAGCTGTGTAGAAATCTATCATTTTAAGCTCTTTTATATTTGAGTCCCCCACCTAGGCCCCCATTTCTACATCCCTAATAAATTACTCTTCTTCTCTTGCATCAATTATTGAATTGAGAAAGTAATGAATTCGCTTCAATTTATCATTGTCTTCATGTTGTTTGAAAAATCTTACTTTTGAAAGGAGAAAAAAATAACAGTTGGTAGTGTATTTCTCTCTTGAGTTTTGACTCATAGGGTCTAACATACTTCTTAACTTTGGAATATAAAGTTTATATGACTCTCGTTAAAAAAGTGGCTCACATATACCTCTATTGCTATACAAATAACTCACATATACCCTTTTTCTTCTAACAAAAATGAAAAATTCAATTCAACATTTATGTAGGGATATATTTGATCATTCTCACACGTATTTGTTCATCCACAAAATATCCATTTGTTCATCCTTCCATTGTTGCATCTTTCAATGATAGAATTCGTCCACTTCTTGCCTGTATAGATAAGCTCCGCCACCTTAACATAATGCAAGAAGGTATCCAGCTCCCAACGATCGTAATAGTCGGAGATCAAATGGATATATTGAGGATTTATATATACTTATTCAAATAATTAGTTTTCAAATAAGGACTACAAGCCTTAAAACAAGACTCATTAATTGTCATACATGCCTTGCTTCTATAATAAAGGAGAAATTGTAAAATGCTTTTATGAAGTGTTTGCTAAGTTGCTATCACCAAATTCAGATTCCACTGAGCTAATTTCTTACCCAAGCTAACACATATTTTTGGTGTAATGTTGAAAAGGAGCTTGAATTTAAAGATATGCCGGAGTGCAAGCAATGGCATGTACATGTCGCGCGAGTTCCCTAAACTTGAGAAGCTTTCAAGATGTCCTGAACTCAATTTGGAGACACCCATCCAACTTTAAAGTTTAAAAAGGTTTGAAGTTTTTGATTCTCCTCTTTTTGATGATGCTGAACTGTTTACCCCAACTTGAGGGAATGAAGCAGATTTAGAGATTACGTATTGACTATTGCAACTCTTTTACCTCCTTACCTATTAGCATTCTGTCAGTTGGTGTGATTATTGTAACATGTTTCTCGAGGAATTGACACTGATGGCATGTCATTCTATAGATGATATATCACCTGAGTTGGTCATATTGAATGTATCTAATTGCCACAACCTTACTAGATGTATGTTATTATTTTCCTTTAGAAGCTTTTTATTTTTGTTTACTTCCCTTTGCTTTTTGGCAAATTCCTTTGTCTATTGCCAAACCATAGCTACTGACCAAAACGAGTGGTGCTTCAATAGATAGATGTAAGTTATTCTATTTCCTTAGTATATTTTGATTTTCAGTTAGCTTGTTTCTTAATTCTTTTGCTTTGTTAAATCTTTTGGTTACGTATCTTTATATTTGCACTCGAACATTGGTAAAAGAAATCTAGTACACATAGGAATTGAGATAATTTTCTCTAGAAAGTTGATTGCTTAATATATGTCAGTAGTATATGTATCGCCTTTGGAGATTCATCACAATAGCAATTCATATATTTTTGTGATAAATCTCAGTCTTCATCTTACTTGATTATTAAGACCCTCTTTTCTTGTCAAGAAAGTATATCATGCTCGGGATGACTTCAAGGTTAACAAAATAATGATTTACTCATGTTTTAGTTACAATGATGCTTATTTTGTAGTAATAGTTTGCACTCTCATAAATCAGCAAAATAGATTTCCTTCATTGGGACTCTCATCAGACAGCGAAAGGCGGTTTCAAAATTCTCTGGAACCCATTTCTATCTTCATGCCTTCAATTCCGATGACATCCAAGATACAAAGAACATTAAAAGAGTAGAAGAATTCATCGCAACAGCCATTTAAAACCGAGTTTTGGATACTTTGCTGTTAGTGACATTTAATTTTCTTTTCAGGATATAAATAGCTTTATATTAAAGCTCCATAGAAAATCTAAATTTTAGAAATGATAATCACGGATAACAATCAGAAATTTTAGAAAATAAGTTAAACTTCCATTTTCTATATAGAGAGACGTGTGTGCGTTGGCCTGTAATTGCAATGCGTGGATTGTTGAAGAGTTCTAAAATTTCTTTTTAACTGCTTTTGGTAAGGAGGTTGTGATTTCCAAGTCGCGCAGCTGTCTACTGTGCCTTCCTTGAGATGAAGCATGACTTGCTACAAATGAGACATCCAGCTCTAATGTCCCCGAAGATCAGATGAGGACAAGAATGTGGTTGTTTACGCTTCAACTCAACTTCCCGAGTATACGCATAGTGTGATTGCTTTTTTTTTTTTATGTCATCAGACAAAATATGATTGTTATGACACTCATAACTTAACTTATTCTTCGGACTATTAATTTTATTTTATGAGAAGAGAAAAGAATTTTAAAAATGATGTTGGGTTTTTCTTTTTTATAACTATCAACTATACAAAACAAGATAAACGTTGTAATGAATTATCTATCGCTATAGAGAACATGTTCTCTACAGCCTTATATTCATTTATCTTTATCCCCAACAAAATTTAGTAAGTAGAAAATATAAGGAAGAAAGTGTGAAGATTTACCAGAATGTAAAGTACCTTTTAAACAAGCAATCCCGCTATGTTAAATTTAAAATTTAGCAATAATATTTTCAAGATTGATTTCTTTTTTTTCTTTTTTTTTTTTGAAACAAAAGAAAAGAACTTTTCAAGAATGTATAGTAAGCATATTTTTAATATTGTAGGTCCCTTTTAACACTATAATATGTGAGGTAGAAATCTATCATTTTAAGCTCTTTATTTTTGAGTCTAGGCCCCCCTTTCTACATCCCTAATAAATTAGCCTTCCTTTCTTGCTTCAATTATTGAGTTGAGAATGTAATGAATTTACTTCAATTTATCATTGTCTTCTTGTTGTTTGAGAAGTCTTACTTTTTAAAGGAGAAAAAATGATATAACTCCCTAATAAATTATATAATACAACTAGCACATGTATTATTATTTTTTTAGAGAAAAAGGGCTTGATGTACTTTTTAACTTTGTGATTTAAAGTTGATATAACTCTCCTTAAAAGAGTAGCTTACATATATTTCTATTGTTACATATATAAATGACTCACATATATCATTTTCCTCTAAAAAAAATTTAAAAAATCAATTTAAAATTTATTTTTTAGAAAAAACCATTTATGTAGGGATATATTTGATCTTCTCACATGTATTTTTTTTTATTTTTGGCTGCTTTGATTCAACGGCTAATTTGGATTTATTATTTTGATGGTCAAATTTATTTTTACTAAATTTCTTGTAAAATTTAGTACATATGCGCCAAAAAAAATTTCTACTGATACAAAAAAAAAAAAATACAACATATCCAAAATAAATTAGCTTTAAATTTTTTTCTTCTTTTTTTTTTTAAAAAAAAAGTCTCAATTTAATATCTGTTAGGTTTTGATGTGTAATTAAGAGGGGTAGGTAAGTTGATTGGTGACCATTAAATTTTATCAATTACTTTTGGCACAATTTGTGTTGTCTTGGCCTCATGTCCTTTTCCACTACATCACAATAACCCAAACAATCAATATATATATATATATAGAGCGCATGCGCACATGATCGCAAAATTGATGTACTAACCTCAATCAATTTATGTGTTCTAGCTTATTTGAGCACAAATTTTAAGAAATAAAAAGAGATTTTTAAAATTTATGATTTTAAATTAAAAATATGTATTTTTAAAATTTTGTGATCTTAAATTTTCGATAAATTATGGACAAACTAAAAGTATCAAAGAGGTTCTACTTTGTAGAATACACAAATATTAACATATTAAAATCTTTCGATGCATTTATGCAGTAAGTTCATTAGAAAAGATCACACATGATGAGTGATTATAAAAAGAGATTATTTTGATTTAAAAGGTAACCACATGGAATCTAATTAAAAGTTCTGTTCAATTCAAAATTCATTAATAATATTTTCAAGAATGATTTTTAAAAAAATAAAAAATAAAAAATAAAAGAAAGAACTTTTAATATGATAGGTCCCTTTTAACGCTATAATGAACTGTGTAGAAATCTATCATTTTAAGCTCTTTTAATTTTGAGTCCCTCACCTAGGCCCCCCTTTCTACATCCCTAATAAATTACCCTTCCTCTCTTGTTTCAATTATTGAATTGAGAAAGTAATTAATTGCTTCAATTTATCATTGTCTTCATGTTGTTTGAAAAGTCTTACTTTTGAAAGGAGAAAAAAATGATAGTTGGTGGTGTATTTCTCTCTTGAGCTGACTCATAGGGTCTAACATACTTCTTAACTTTGTGATATAAAGTTTATATGACTCTCGTTAAAAAAGTAGCTCACATATACCTCTATTGCTATACAAATAACTCACACATACCCTTTTTCTTCTAACAAAAGTGAAAAATTCAATTCAACATTTATGTAAGGATATATTTGATCATTCTCACAAGTAATCATCCTCAATATATCCATTTGTTCATCCTTCCATTGTTGCATCTTTCAATGATAGAATTCGTCCACTTCTTGACTGTATAGACAAGCTCCGCCACCTTAACATAATGCAAGAAGGTATCCAGCTCCCACGATCGTAGTAGTCAGAGATCAAATGGATATATTGAGGATTTATATATACTTTTATTCAAATAATTAGTTTTCAAATAAGGACTACAAGCCTTAAAACAAGACTCATTAATTGTCAAACATCCCAGGAAAGTAATTTTGTGCAATTCAAATATTGAGATGTTATCCGCGAGTGTGTTGCATACTTTCACGTATTTGGCTGAATTAGCCAAAAAAATGTAAAAATAGCACAACTGAACCTTGTATTGATGTTTAAATGATACAAGACTTTGGTCTCTAAATGGTCCCCATTTTCTACAACGTCTCCCAACTACCCTCAATTACTCAATTGAGAAAGCAATGAATAGGCACTAGCAAACATAGTTGTACCAATTACAACTTCTTGTTTGCAAATTTACTAGCAAAAGAGAGAGAGAGAAATCAGTGATCATTCTTGTTTGCAAATTACTTTTAGCATTCAACAGGTAAAGTAAAGTTGTTAGTAATTGAAGATACAAACATTCATCTTCTCAAATTTCTTAAAATCATTTTGTGTTTTGCTTTGCAGATTTCAGAAATGGAGGTTGGCTTAGCAGTTGGTGGTGCATTTATCTCTTCAGCTTTGAATGTTCTCTTTGATAGGCTTGCACCTCAGGGTGAGCTGCTCAATATGTTTCAGAAGCGTAAGAATGATGTTCGTCTCTTAAAGAAGCTGAGAATGACTTTGCTTGGTCTTCAAGCTGTGCTAAGTGATGCAGAGAATAAGCAGGCATCAAATCAATCTGTTAGCCAGTGGCTTGATGAGCTTCGACATGCTGTGGACGGCGCTGAAAACATGATGGAAGAGGTCAATTATGAGGCTTTGAGACTTAAGGTTGAAGGTAAGCATCAAAATCTTGCAGAAACTGGCAACCAGCAAGTAAGTGACCTTAACCTGTGCTTGTTGGAAGACACTATTGAAACATTGAAGGATTTGCAAGAGCAAATTGGTGACCTTGGCTTAAAGGAGTATTTTGGTTTGACGAAACAAGAAACTAGAACACCTTCAACTTCTTTGGTTGATGATTCTGATATCTTTGGTAGGCACAAGGAAATAGAGGATTTGATTGTCCGTTTATTGTCTGAAGATGCAAATGGAAAAAATCTGGCTGTAGTTCCTATCGTTGGAATGGGCGGCGTGGGTAAGACAACACTTGCTAAAGCCGTTTACAATGATGAGAAGGTGAAGGACCATTTTGGTTTGAAAGCTTGGTTTTGTGTTTCTGAGGCATATGATGCTTTCAGAATAACAAAAGGATTACTTCAAGAAATTGGCTCAATTGACTTAACGGTTGATTACAATCTTGATCAGTTACAAGTCAAATTGAAGGAAAGCTTAAAGCTTGATGACAATCTTAATCAGCTACAAGTCAATTTGAAGGACAGATTAAAGGGAAAGAAGTTTCTTATTGTTCTTGATGATGTGTGGAATGACAACTACAACGAGTGGGATGACTTGAGAAATCTTTTTGTACAAGGAGATATGGGAAGTAAGATCATTGTAACTACACGAAAGGAGAGTGTTGCTTTGATGATGGGTAGTGGAGCAATCAACGTGGGAACTCTGTCTAGTGAAGTCTCTTGGGATTTATTCAAACGACATTCACTAGAAAACAGGGATCCTGAGGAACATCCAGAATTTGAAGAGGTTGGAAGAAAAATTGCAGACAAGTGCAAAGGGTTGCCTTTAGCTCTAAAGTCACTTTCTGGTATTTTACGCTGCAAATCAGAGGTGTATGAGTGGATAGACATTTTAAGAAGTGAAATTTGGGAGCTTCCAAGTTGTTTGAATGGTATATTACCAGCGTTGATGTTGAGCTACAATGATCTTCCTGCACATTTGAAGCAATGTTTTGCTTATTGTGCAATATATCCCAAAGATTATCCATTCTGCAAAGACCAAGTTATTCACTTGTGGATTGCTAATGGTCTTGTACAACAGTTTCGTTCAGGTAATCAATACTTTCTTCAGTTGAGATCAAGATCACTATTCGAAATGGTTACAGCATCTTCTGAAAGACACGTAGAGAAATTCATAATGCATGACCTTGTCAATGATTTAGCCCAAATTGCATCTTCAAAACTTTGTATTAGGTTGGAAGAGAATGAAGGATCTCATATGTTGGAACAAAGTCAGCATATGTCCTATTACATGGGAGCAGATGGTGAATTTGAGAAATTGAAACCACTCTCCAAATCAGAGCCGCTGAGGACATTGCTTCCAGTCAATACGAAGAGAACGAAGTATCTCAATCATCGTTACCCATATCAGCTAAGCAAGAGGGTGTTGCATAACATACTGCCAAGACTGACATCCTTAAGGGCATTATCATTGTCACGTTATGAGATTAAGGAGTTGCCAAATGACTTGTTTATCAAATTAAAGCTCCTCAGATTTTTGGACCTTTCTTGGACAAAGATTGAAAAGTTGCCAGATTCCATTTGTGTATTGTATAACTTGGAGACACTTCTCTTGTCATATTGTTCTTATCTTGAGGAGCTACCACTGCAGATGGAGAAGTTAATTAACTTGCATCATCTTGACATAAGCAACACTTATCGGTTGAAGATGCCGCTACATCTGAGCAAGTTGAAAAGTCTCCATGTGCTAGTGGGAGCCAAGTTTCTTCTAGGCAGTCCTGGTGGATTGAGCATGGAAGATTTGGGTGAACTGCATAACTTGTATGGATCTATATCAATTCTAGAGTTGCAAAATGTGGTTGATAGAAGGGAAGCTGTGAAGGCAAAGATGAGGGAGAAGAATCATGTTGACAAATTATCTTTAGAGTGGAGTGAAAGTAGTACTGCTGACAATTCACAAACTGAAAGAGACATAGTTGATGAGCTACGCCCGCACACAAACATAAAAGAAGTCGAAATCACCGGATATAGAGGGACAAAATTTCCAAATTGGCTAGATGATCATTCGTTTCTTAAGCTGGTGGAATTGTCTCTTAGCTACTGCAAGGACTGTTATTCTTTGCCAGAACTAGGAGAACTCCCTTGTTTGAAATTCCTTTCCATTAGAGGGATGCATGGAATAACAGAGGTGACGGAAGAATTCTATGGCAGTTCAGCCTCCAAAAAGCCTTTTAACTCTCTTGAGAAGCTTAAATTTGAAGATATGCCAGAGTGGAAGCAATGTCACATACTAGGAAGTGGTGAGTTCCCTAAACTTGAGACGCTTTCAATTGAAAATTGTCCGGAGTTGATGGGGAAGTTGCCTGAACATCTTTGTTCTCTGAAAGAATTGAGAATTTCAGAATGTCCTGAACTCAATTTGGATACATCCCAACTTGAGGGAATGAAGCAGATTGTTGAATTAGATATTGTTGGTTGTAACTCTCTTACCCCCTTACATTTTACCATACTACCCAGTACCTTGAAGAGAATGACAATATCTTGTATAGATGATATATCACCTGAGTTGCTCCCAAGAGCACGCGAATTGACAGTTTCATGTTGCCCCAACCTTACTAGGTTTATGATTCCTACTGCCCCTGAAAGGCTCTCTTTGGTGAGTTGTCGGAATCTTGAAAAACTTTTGGTGCCATGTGGGGGGACCCAGATAACGTATTTGAATATTTGGGACTGTTCGAAGCTGAAGTGGCTGCCAGAACATATGCAGGAACTCCTTCCATCTCTTAAGAAACTGGAACTCTGGTATTGTTCAGAAATAGAGTCCTTTCCTGAAGGAGGACTGCCTTTCAATTTACAACAACTTGTGATCATTAATTGCACGAAACTATTGAATGGACGAAAGGAGTGGCTTTTACCGAGACTCGTAGAGTTAGTGATCCAAAATGATGGCAGTGACGAAAAGATGGAACATTGGGAGTTGCCTTCCTCTATTACAACTCTTAGCATACACAGTCTGAAAACGTTAAGCAGCCAGGATCTCAAAAGCCTCACCTCTCTTCAATATCTATCTACTGCTTATTTACCTCAAATTCAGTCAATGTTGGAAGAAGGGCGGCTTCCCTCCTCTCTTTCTGAGCTACATTTAAGTTACCATGATGAACTCCACTCACTACATCTTTGGCACCTCACTTCTCTTCAAAGTCTACACATCTATGGTTGCCCTAATCTCCAATCACTTTCTGAATCAGCACTGCCCTCCTCCCTCTCTGAGCTGGCCATCTATGATTGCCCTAATCTCCAATTTCTTCCAGTAAAAGGGATACCCTCTTCCCTCACTAAACTAACTATTTTCCGCTGCCCATTGCTCACACCACTACTAGAATTTGGAAAGGGGAAATACTGGCTAAATATTGCTCAAATTCCCATCATATATATTGATCATATATACATGTAATGATTATAACAAATGGTGCTCCGACAAATGTAAGTTATTCTTTACCCTGAGAAGCTTTTTATTTTTGTTTACTTCACATTGCTTTTTAGCTAATTCTTTTCCTTTTTTTTTTATATCTTGTCGAGCAGTGTGGAGCGTCTATTGCTCAAACAACGGCTATTGACCAAAAATTGCTCATATTTCCACCATAAATGCTGATTGGGAGAACCTGTAATGATTAAAACGAGTGGTGCTTCGATAGATGTAAGTTATTTTATTTCCTTAGTATCTTTTCATTTTTGGTTAATTCTTTTTCAGTTATATCTTTTTGACCAGTGTGTATCATCTATTGCTTCTGTTAAGTCAAGGAAATATGTTTAGATTTGTAAAAGAAATCTTTATATTTGTAAACCGTTGCTGAATGTGGTCTGACACCAAAGTGTAAGTGAATAAAGATAGTTTCGCAGTTTTGTCGCTGAATAACTATTTGCATTTTAAATTTTTTGCTTTGATCACATGTAAAATGCAATTAGTTATTCATCGAAATGCCATTTTGATATTTTTTTTCTTAAAAGAAATAAATTGAAAATAGTTATTTATATCAAATAGTTGTCAAATAATAAATTTTAATTTTTTTGCTTTGATCACATGCCGTGGCCGACATAGAAATTGATATAAATATTATCTATTAAAAAAACTTACTATTTTAAGTCATAAGTTTAATATATATTAATTAACTATAAGTAGGTAAATAAAAAAAACATAGTATTTTGAAAGATACATGTCATGTACTTAGAAGTCATTTGATTGGATGATTTGAGAGTTTAGCACAAAATTTAGCTTTATTTCTTTCTTATTTAATTGTCATTTTCAAATACCTATTACTAATATTAGTATTACACTCACATCATCAATTTTTGCAAAAATAATTTTTTCTGTAAGATAATGCTAACGATCTTTAAAAGTCACTCGATATATGAATAAAGTTACAATGAAGACTATAATGCAAGATTTCTGGTTTGATTGTCATTTTCAATACCGGCCTACTATAACTAATACCGGCCTACTGTAAACATTAAGGGCTCGTTTGGTGTGAGGTATAGTAACAAATAGTCCCGGGATTAAATTATAGTACCGCTTATTTTGTTGTTTGGTTGGCAAGTTCGGGATAACTTATCCCGGGATTAATAATTAGTACCGGGATAAGTTATCCCTCTCCTTGGGTGGTATAGTAATCCCGGGATAACTTATCCCGGGATAAAATAGGTAAATGACAAAAATGTCTCTTTCAACCCTTTTGTTATATCACTTTTTACATTAATGAAGGGCATTTTTGTAAACAAATAAATTGTTCTTAAAATTTATTATTTTGAATACAACAAACCAAACACTCAATAAAAAATAATCCCAACACAACTTATCCCATCATAACTAATCCCAACATAACTTATCCCAACATAACTTATCCCATCATAACTCATTTTCAAACCAAACGACCCCTAAGTGTTGGAACTATTTATACATAAATTTCTGTGATCATTAGAATGATATATATCTTTGATATTAATGACGTTTAATATTCTTTTCAGAATATAAATTAGATCGTGCTCATCATGAAAACGCGTAGCTTTATTTTTATGTTCCACAGAGAATCTAAATTTTAGAAAAGATAATCACGGATAATGACAGGAGTATTAGGAAAAAATAAACTTCCATTGGCAGAATTAGATGTGTTATAGACTTGCAGCTAATTGTTATGCGTTATATAATTCTTGGATGGTAGCTGGTATTGAATTGGTTTCTCATTGATTAGTGACTTATACTCTTATCACGTTTTAACTTCAAATCTCAATTGCAAAAGACATCATATGTAGCTAGTGCAACCATGTTTAATCGAAAGTATTTAGTTCTTGCAAACATCAACCATCCCATGTCAAGAATGAAACTTTTCTTAATAGTATAACGAAGATCTGTTGTCACTATAGAAGTAGAGAGAATTGATGTCATTCATACTTGGGAACAATTAAAATTGATCATGAGGGAAAAGTATATCATCGAGTGGTACAAGTTGTTCAAAGTATGATGCCGTCTTACTTACTACTCTTTGTTACAATTACAGACTATGTGTGGTCTGTAATTGTAACACGGGGATTGCCTTAGAGTTATAAAATTTCTTTTTAATTGCTTTCAGTATGGAGGTTGTGATTTCCAAGTCGTGCAGCCGTCTACTATGGCTTCCTTGAGATGAAGCATGACTTGCTGCAAATGGAACATACAACTCTAATGGAACCCAAAGGTACATTAGGAAAAAAGTTGTTTTAAGTATTACACAAGAGAGGTATTGGCATTATGGTCATAGATTATAAGGAAAGATAAGATATTACTTTTTCATTGTCAGGATCTTGACAAGGCTCGGTGATCATTTGGGAAGTGAAAAGCTTCGAAGGTTTCTCTGTTCAAGTCGGGAAGTGATAACTATTGAACTATGTATGTAATAGCTTGTATTGTTGAATTTTGGTCCTAGGCCCCTACGACTTTAAAATGCATCACTTGGGTCTAATGTCACTTCTTGTTATACCAACAGTCAATATCTTTCTTGCGTTTTGTCGACGTACAATGATGTTCTTTTTAGTATGGATACCAAGACATGTACAAATTTGTAAAATATAAAAATTAACTTCTGTGTCATATATGATATATTGAATTATAAACTTCTTCACCTTACGGTAATCACTTTCTTAGTAAAATAAAAATGATAGTATTCGTTACTGGTCTAGAGGAATCATACATGTACAACTATATAGAGAGAGACATGTGTGCGTTGGTCTGTAATTGCAATATGTGGATTGGCCAAAAGTTCTAAAATTTCTTTTTAATTGCTTTCAGTAAGGAGGTTGTGATTTTCGAGTCGTACAACTGTCCATTATGACTTCCTTAAGATGAAGCATGACTTGCCGCAAATGGAATATTCAGCTCTAATATACCCAAAGGCCGGATGAGGACAAGACCATGGTTGTTTACGCTTCAACTCAGTTTCCCGAGAATACGCACAGTGTAATTGCTCGGTGTCTTGGTGTTCTTGGGCATAATATTTATGTGATAACAAGAAGGGTTGGAGGTGTCTTCAGTGGCAAGGAGGTAAAAAAATGAGTTGGGAAGTGAAATTATTTTGTAAGGTCCCTTTGCTCAAGTCGAGAGAAAAGTTGTTGAATCTTTAAGTGGTATTTATTCATCAATGAGAGAGAAAATAGATCTACATGCAATCATCAAATGTTGCTGTGAGCATGCTAGGCCTTGTGCATCTTCTACATCTATTTTCCTCTGAGCAACTCGCAGATGAGCTTGCCAAGGGACTTACTCACGTACGTCGTTCCTACTTAATGAACAAACTAGGCGTAGAATCTGTTCATAACACCTAGCTTGAGGGAGGTGTTGAGGAATTAACGACTAGTACAGCTGTGCCTTAGCTGTAATCTGTTATGGTTAGTTAGAGTAGAGTTAGTGGCAGTTGGTCTAGCTTAAGTTGGTTAATTAATCTGTTATATGGTTTTCCTATTGATCAGTTTTTTGATTGACATGAAATTTACTCTAAATTTGCTGCCTCTTAGTTCTACCGACATTTCATAAAAGGTGTGTGACAAATGATATTGTTTTATGTGTACAATGGCTCTAAGTAGACTATAAGTTCCTAATTCTGTTTAGTGCATCAAAGAATATATATCATGGAACTCAGAATCTAACTTCCTACCAGAAGCAAACTCATGAACTTCACCATTAACTTCTACTGAACTGCATCCCGGTTCTTTCTCTATATGTTTATCCTTCATTGATATCCTTTCATCCATAGCTTCTTCAAACAGGCCCGTGGCTGCATACATATTTGCCATCAAAACATAGCCACTGCTTTCATTTGGATCCAACTCAAGCAAATTCTCAGCTGACCATCTGGCCAACTCCATGTTCCCGTGGCTCCTACATGCCGATAACAAAGAACCCCATATGACAGCATCAGGTTCCATTTTCATACTTCTTATAACCTCTTCTGCTTCTTCAACTAGTCCTGCTCGACCAAGAATATCGACCATACAACCATAGTGCTTGATTGATGGTTCAATACCATATTCTTTTTTCATTAATTGGAAGTAGTCTTTAGCTTTATCTACCAATCCTGAGTGATTGCACGCGGTTAGTACACCGATGAAACTCACAGAATCTGGTTTCAGAATGGAGCATTGTAGCCTCGCGAATAGCTTAATCGCATCATCCTCAAATCCATTAGTAGCTAAGCCCAAAATCATAGAGTTCCAAGAAGACAACCCTTTATTTGAGATGCTTATAAAAACATGCCACGCCATTTCAACGTTTCCACACTTGCAATACATGTCTATAATTGCAGTAACAACAATGACATTCAACTCCACATTGTTCGTCTTAACATACTTATAAATCCAATTCCCTTGTTGAAGTGCTCCTAAGTGTCCACAAGCATTCAACAAGCTCACTAAAGTGAATTCACTAGGCTTAATATTTTCCTCTTGCATTGTGCTAAATAGTTCCAATGCTTCATTCCACTTCCCATTCCTAACAAAACCACTTATCATACTGTTCCAAGAGACATCATTTCTAGTTGGCATTTTACTAAACAACCTCCAAGAACCATTGATTTCTCCCGATTTAGCTAGGCCCATGATCATGGAATTCCAAGAAACAACATCCTCAGTCTCATTCTCATCAAACAATTTCCTTGCTTCAACCAAAAAACCACAACTTGCATACATATACAACAGAGTATTTCTTATGAATGTGTCAAATCCTAGGCCTAGTTTGATGATTCTCCCATGAAGTTGAGCTCCATTTTTCACAAGACCACCTCGAGCATACGCCTTAAAAACCGAAGGATAAGTAAGCAAGTGCGGTTGTACTTGTGAATTGTTCAACATTTCAATGAAAAGATGAATTGCATATTGTGGAATTGAACTCTCTGAGAAACCTCTAATGATAGTATTCCAAGTGAAAAGATT